ATTGGTTGACGAACCACAGGAGCAGGGCGCATTGGATGAAGATCAATTGGATGCCCTTGTTCAGAACATTGTGAATGACACTCCTGGTGCTACTGATGCTGCTACACTCTCTGCTACTCCTACCGCTACCCCTGCTGCAACCCCTGCTGCTACTCATGGTGCTACGCTTGTTTTTTCCCCTGCTGCTACACATGTTCCTACCACTGCTGCTACCCCTGCTGCTTCATCTTCTGAAACACATGCTGCTACCACTGCTACATCAAGTTCTGAAAGACGAGAAATAGCTCCATTGATTAAGGTTCCATTTGCCAGATATGTACCTGGTGCTGTTGATACTTCTACGCCTGCTGCTACACTTCCTGCTACCCTCGATGATATTGATAGGTAAACTCATTAGAATATGAAATTGTGTTATGAACTTTCTTATATTATATTATGACTTTTCTTCTGAAATATTATTAATTTTCGCATATGAGATTATGAGTTTTCTATTATGAGTATGAAATTACAGTTTTGATATTATGAACTTTCTGATATGCAATTATGTATTTTCTGTTCTGTATTTATGAATTTTCTGTACTGCAGTTATGAATTTTCTGAACTGAGATTGTGCAATTATGATGATATTAACTAGCTTCATGTGTTTACAGTGCATTTCTGGACAGTGAATCTGATGTCGAGGATGTCACCATACGAAAGAGACCAATCCGAAAATACAAAAACATCCCGCTAAATTTGAGGTCACCTTTCTGAACAAAGAATGTACCGTCTGACCATAATGCTAGTGTCACCGAGAGGGCCGTATCAGACTACGCCTTCATGGATGCTTCTACAAATCATCCAATTGAGTATGTTTGAATCTAACCATTTAAAAAACTTTTTATTTTCATGAATATTTCACATTGATAACCATGTATTAATTCATTTATGTATTTATCAAAACTTTTTTGTTGATGTAGTGAAACTCTGTTTAGCTTTGATGATTTCTCAATGACAAGAGGAGATTTCCACACCATACGCAGCGGTGAAATTTTTAGCACATTCATCGATGTATGGGCGTTGAGGCTTACACTCCTCAACACAAAACGGGCATTGGGGAAGCCAAAGTGCATCTATTTTAGCACGTTGGTACATGTAAGTTAAAACCAACAATTTTTACATTCTGTATTTTATGTCATGTAAATATGTATTTTCTGTGTGTGATTATGAATTTTCTCATATGAGATTATGAATTTTCTATTGTGAGTTTATGAAGTTACATTTTTGATATTATGAACTTTCTGATGTGAGATTATGTATTTTTTGTGTGAGATTATGAATTTTCCCATATGACATTATGAATTTTCTATTGTGACTTATGAAATTACAATTTTGATATTATGAATTTTCTGTTCTGTAGTTATGTATTTTCTTTGTAATATTATGGATTTTATGTTATGATATTATAAACTATGTATGACCGCCATTACATATTGCACAACTTATCATTGATACGTATTTTTTTCCCCTTAGCTTCAACTTGACCCAAGTGAACAGTGGATGAAGAATCTTCCGCTTCAAAAGCGGAAGGAGAATTTCAATGAGCGCTTACAGTATGAAATTTCCAAATTTGGAAATCTTGACGTCAATGATGCTGATTTGGTAATTTATAATTACCCACGTTCAACATTTATTCATTAATGGCATATTTCTTCTCTATTCTAACTACTTTTTCTTTTGATGTTAGATATTTTTCCCCGTGCTTCGACACGAACACTACTTCATTGTCTGCATCAACACCATCTCAAAAAGTGTTGAAATCATAGACAACAAGATGCTGCCTAAGGGTGTTACTGAAGCTGACAAGTATGAAGATTGCCCTAGTCTACTGGTAACTTAACCTTAAACTTGACCTTCCAAACATTTGTTATACATTTCCTATGAATCATTATCACACTAGTTTCATTTTTGCCCAGATGACTGCTTTGAGAGAATACTTGACTGCAGAAAAATCACCCCTACTCCGTAAGATACAAAATCTTCCTGTATCACACTTGGCCATTCCTTGGAAGGAGCTTGACAATGTGATTGACTGTGGCATATATGTCATGCGACACATGGAGTCGTACAAGGGGAATGTTCAAGATTGGGACAGTGGATTCAAGATAGGCACCCGTGTAAATGTAAGAGTATAAGATATATTAATTTCAACTTAGATTTCCTTTTTTTCTTTTCTTTTTTTTTTTTTTTTGTTTTTTAACATCTTTTTTTTTTTTTTTTTTGAAGGCTGACTTCCTTTGGGAACTTAGAGCTAAATACACGTCAAACATTATCACATGGGGTAGGAACACTGAAAGATTGCGAGTTATAAAGGCAGCAAAGGATCTCTCAAAGAAGAAATGAAACTATACCGCTTTTTGGTGTTTGAATATGTTGTGAACATGAAGCATTAATTTTGTCAATACTTCATTTTGAAATCTTGACTGTTGGTACCCTAGATTGAGAATCTCTCATTTTGTAATGTGCACCGATATTTTGCACCTGTGAATATACAATCTATTACTCTTAATTCAGATTACATATGAATCATGTAGATTTATGAATTTTCAACTACCATATTATGAATTTTCTATTATGCAATTGTGAACTTTCTATTATGCGATTATGAATGTATACGTGTTAGCTATAACTGAAAATTCATTATTACATAACATTAAAATAACATTCATAATGACAACAAGGAAAATTCATAATCACATAAAGTAAACATTCATAATCAAATAAATTCATAATCTGACACATAATTCTCATAAAATCTAAATAGCATAAAATTCATAAGCACATACTGTAAATTCATAATCACATATAGGAAAATTCATAATCACATAAAGGAAAATTCATAATCACATAAAGGAAGATTCATAATCTGAGACATAATTCTCGTAAACTCTAAATAGCATAAAATTCATAAGTACATACTGTAAATTCATAATCACATAGAGGAAAATTCATAATCACATAAAGGAAAGTTCATAAACTGGTAAAGGAAAATTCATAATCTGACACATAATTCACAATCTAATATCATAAGATTCGTAAGTACATACTGTAAGTTCATAATGACATAAAGGAAAATCCATAATGACACAAAGGAAAATGCATAATCACATGAATGAAAATTCATAAACTGACACATAGTATTTTGCATAGTATTCATTACAACACTGCTAAACATATGAAGTTCTATTAACACAATCTCAATCTATAGCTACATCGTGGTCTACATTCTTATTAAAATGAACAAACTGTGAACCCCCAGTGCTTGGATGTACAAGATATCCATCACGAGCAATCTCTGAAATATTTTCCAAGACCAATGATTGGACAGAGCCCTTTGTAATTGAAGCAAGCTTGTTTGCAGCACTCTTTCTCCCCCTTGCTGCATTGTACTTCTTCTCAATAACACTACTACTCCTTTTATTTCTCACACCTTTACTCCTCCGGCTTGAAGGGTCTTGGACAATACCACTTGACGAAGACACAGCACCCTCCTCAGTATTCACATCCCCAATCTCAGCTTCAATGTTTTTCCTTGCATTCTCAACAGCTTCATCACAGAATTGTCTAGCAACACTGTTATCTTGGCTACAAACAATAAGCCTTTGAAATTTCCTACTAATCTCAACAGCCCAAATTGAAGAAGGGACACCACCATTATAAAACACGGATGCAATGTCCACATTTCTACCCTCAACAGCCTTTTTAGTCCATCTTTTTAGAATGTATTTATCGGGAATACTGGAAACACAGTGCACATGAAGTATACGTAAGCAGTGGCAACAAAGTATTCCCAATTCTGAAAACAGTTTGCAACTACAGCATATATCCAAATTGATTGGCTTGAAAGTTACTTCATGCCTTATGATATCTATGTCTGGTCGCCACACGTGATACTTGCACTTACAACCATCATTCAACACCATTTCTTGATAACAAGAGCTACCTTTCATAAATTGTTCCTCGAACAAAAAATATATCTCAATTGTATAAACCTCTCTAGCATGTGAAAGTAGTTTCACATGATCCATCATCATGGCGGGTACTCCTTGAGAACACCGGAAATCCTCACCATTTTCCTTACTTCTCCATTCAGAAATAACACTCACAAAGGATGAATAAAAATCACATAAACCAGCAGTCTTGGACAACCTCCTAGAAATTGAATGATTTGTGCTTTCACTCCTTTGCGAAGATAAAATACCCCCGGAGAAATAATCCTTGTTGAACGCTGGACACCACTTCTCCCTACAGTCATAAAGCTTCTCTAGCCATGTATTCTTATGACAATTATATTTTGTAACCATCCTGAAAAAAGTTAAAACACATGTTTACTAATCATATTCTGAAAATTCATAATCTCATATTAGAAAGTTCATAATCATATAACAGAAAATACATAATGACATAACAGAAAATACATAATTGTATACTTGCATTCATAATCTCATATTACACAGTTCATAAATCATATAACAGAAAATACATAATGACATAACATAAAATCCAGAATTGTATAACTGTGAATTCATAATCTCATATTAGAAAATTCATAAATCATATAACAGAAAATACATAATGACATAACAGAAAATACATAATGACATAACAGAAAATTCAGAATTATATAATGTAAATTCATAATAACATACCTTGTCCAGTAAACTTCAAACTCCGCTTCAGTCTCGGTGTATTTCAACACACAATTGAACATATCCAGAAAATCCTTATGATTCCTTAATGCCTTGATATGCTTCTTCGAATTCTCACCAATATGCCATATGCAAAGACGGTGGCGTGATGTAGGAAACACCATGGAAATGCCAGCAGCCATAGCTGAACATTGGTCCGTCATGATAGTCTGTGGACACTTGCCATCCATGGATCTTAAAAACACTCTAAACAACCACGCAAATGACTCTATCCTCTCATTCATCAAAAAACCACATCCAAACATTACATTCATGCAATGATGGTTCATCCCTACAAAAGGACCACAAATCATATCATATTTGTTAGTGCGATATGTTGTGTCATGCACTAACAGATCACCAAACACCTCATAATCCCTTCTCATTTGACCATCCCTCCAAAAAAAAACTACACAATCTTCCATCCAAATCAACTTCGAAATCAAAAAAGAAATCAGCCTCATTAGATTGCCTCCTCCTGAATATTTCAATCAAAGAATTGGAATCAGTTCCATCCAAACACTTCAAACTCACAGAAGCCATCGAATTGTAAGCATCGCGGTTGGTAAAGCCAACCAATGAAGAACCCCCTGACTGATGTTTCAAAAACCTCATACCATCCGCCAATGCAACACCACTATTCTTCATGTCTTTTAAATATTCAAGCTGATTGTTTCCCACTCTTCTATGCGACCGGAGCAGATGACTCTTGCCAAATGAACATAACTCATGATTGTGCTCTTTCAAATGTTTTGTAACTGTCCACATCCCATCACCCCCCACATCAAACTGAACAAATGCACCACAGCCAGTCCTCATATCAATCGTTGAATAAAGCTTAACACCACTGTTTGGTTTCTGCTTATACCCAGTCTTAGCACAGAAGAACCTCTTCATCTGAATTGACTTAGTAGATGCCTTATAACGTTGTTGGCCTTTCCTCACACTAAAACCAACTCTGTATGCATATCCATTATATAACTCAAAAGCTTCGTCAACATTGCTTACTACAACACCAACCAAGTCTTCATCAACTGCAATTGCAACAAAAATATAACCACACCTATACCAACTACTAAAATATGCATTTGCAGTTCATTACAGATTTGATAGAAATATATTCTTCATTTACGTAGAGGGGGTACGGGGAATGCCGAATAAATCCAGCCATGCTCTACATAAGAAGAACATATTCTCCATCAATAACAGATACACATAAACTCATAACATAAAATTCATAATCTCATATAAAAAATTCATAATCTCATATAGAAAATTCATAATAACATAACGGAAAATTCATAACCTCAAAATGTAAATTCATAACAGAGTATTAATACCAATCACAACATTCAATTTGCATATAATCACCATGAATCAGTACCTACACCTATCAGAAACAACATTCATGATACACAAAACTAATAAAAAGAACCTGGACTTGAAGACGAGCCATCAATGTCAATGTTTAAGTCTGCTTGCTCATTGCTTATTGAATCACCAACAAAGTCTTCATTCACTGAGTATATGCAAACAGTGTAACATACCAGTTAATATGTTATGAACATAGTACTATTACATTATGAATATTCATATCACATGCATGAACAGAGTATCAAAATTCATAATTGCGTAACAGAAAATACATAATCTCATATTGTAAAATTCATAACAGAGACATGGTACTAATACACAATTACAACATTATGAACATTCAAACTGCATATATACTGAACAAATACCAATAAAAATAACTAAACATTCAACAATTCATGATCTCATAAATCAAACGAAATCAAACGCATAAAATCGAACGCAACCTGGAATCGCAGAAATCATATCGGTGGAATCTTCTCCTCGAACCGTCGTCTCCTCCATCGCGAATAGGAAAGAAACGCGAATGTCGGATCACAACTGCCTTCAGAGAATTGCGAATAGGAAAGAATCAAACGCAAAGAGTTGTCGGATCAGAATTGCCTTCCTAACGCCGTTAATAGAACAGTGTTTTTTTTTTTTTTTTTTTTAAAAAGACGCCAAAAACGACGTCGTTTGGAAGCGTGTTCACCAAGCATGGTGAACACGTTTCCACGGCATAATTTGCGGACTTATGTGACCACTATTAATTGTTTGATTTAGTTAAAATATCAATGTCACTGTTTGGTAAAAAAATTGGCCTATAGGCCAATTTTGACGTATTTGACCACTATTAATTGTTTGATTTAGTTAAAATATCAATATAAATGTTTTGTTAATTAGCTTTTTGCAACTCCAAAATGCTAAAATTCAAAAAGTTACTCCAAACAACTTTTTCAATTAGCTTTTTGAGAAAAGAAATTATACCAAACAGCTATAAACTAACAGCTAATTTCCAAACACTTTTTTACAATCAGTTAATGTTATCGACTATTTATACCCTCAAATTAACACAATCAGCTAACAGCTATCAGTTAACAGCCATTTTACCAAATAGGGCCTAATAAGAAAAGGCTACCTCAGGCCAATCGGTATCTTCTTCTTCATATATTTGTGCATACAAATGCAGTAATCCTCTCAAAACAAATACAGTAATGACGACTTAGCCACACCCCTTTACTCTCTCTCTCTCTCTCTCTTTATAATATTCAATACTAAAGGCTCTTTGAAACCAATTCTGGAGTTCCTATCATCTTCATTCATTAGTTTATCATCATCTTTTTTACATTAGAATGAATTTAGTCTATCAGGCATATTTTACGATTATCTCAAAAGTTAAAAGTTGTTAGAAGAGGTAGAATTTTGATTAAGCTTCTAAATTTTCAACCTAAAAATAGTTTTAGAATTTTAATTTAAAAGTTGTTAGAAAATGTAGTTTTTGTTGTGGTTTTTATAAAAATGCCGTAGGTTTATATGGACTACGATTGATATAGGCTGGGATATGTTTAGGATAGTTTCTGTGACGTGTGCAGGACACTGCCCTAAAAGCTTATATCCGGAGACTGAGCGGTCTTAACCCGGGAGCTTTCGACTGGCTCACACAGAAGTACTCACGTAACTCAGTTGCACTTATAGAGATACGTACTCAGAGTATTTATAGAGCTTGAGAGCTTTTTTTCAAGTGTAAAGAAATAGGTCTGGGAAGACAGGTATTTATAGTAGTGAGAATACCTGTCTCCCCTGTACCAGCCACAAAAAAAAAAGAGAAAAAAGGGGAGAGGGAACGCAAGTTGCGTTCAGATGTGCCCACTAACGCACTAGATTAATTCTTGTCCACAAGAATAATTCTGACCGCCCATTCACCTCTTGAATGTTATTCCCAACAATCCCCCACACATTCAAGGGGTGTGGTAACAGGGCGTTTGAGTATACCACCTAGACTGACCTTAATGCCAGTGTGTAACCTTGAACTGGCACGTAGTGACCTGAGTAACTTACCTCTCAGGAGTGAACTAAGTCTTGAACTCTTTGAGAAGTGGGTAGTTTTGAACTCTGGTTCACATATCAGTACTTTAGCATACCCTTCAACTTTCTTACGTAAGTCTTTTCATGGCTTCGTTTGACCACTACAGTGGTGTCCACCTTGAATTCTTTACCTCTCATTTTAAGCCCATTTCCTTTGACGTATCAAGGATAGCTTTCCGATTCAGTCCTTTTGTTAGAGGATCTGCAATATTCCTCTCGGACTTCACATACTCTAATGTGAGTACTCCGTTCACAATTAACTGCCTTACAGACTCGTGTCTGACTCTTATGTGTCTTCTTTTTCCATTGTAGGAACTATTTTTTGCTACACATATGGCAGTTTGTGAGTCACAATGAATGGGCACTGATGGAGCAGAATTCCCCCACAACGGCACGTCTGCCAGTAGGTTTCTCAGCCATTCAGCTTCTTGCCCAGCCAGATCAAGAGCTATGAACTCAGCCTCCATTGTTGATCTGGCTATGCATGATTGTTTCGTGGATTTCCACGACACAGCTGCTCCGCCCATGGTAAATACATACCCACTGGTGGAGCTTACATCACCACTGTCATTGACCCAGTTTGCATCGCAATATCCCTCTAAGATATTTGGAAAACCAGTGTACTGCAGGCCCCACTCGATGGTGCCTCTCAGATAACGTAGTACACGTTTTAATGCATGCCAGTGGACCTCACTTGGATTATGAGTGTACCGACTGAGTCTGTTGACTGCAAGAGCGATGTCGGGTCTGGTATAGTTCATTAGGAACATCAGACTCCCTATTAATTTCGCATAGTCCTCTTGCGCCACTCCTGCTCCAGTGTGTTTTTTCAGTTTGACACTAGAATCATACGGAGTTGGAGCCGGGGTCACTTCATAACTGTCAAACTTCCTTAACAGTTTTTCTGTATAGTGGCTTTGTGACAACTTGTAGTCATTTTCACTTTGAATGACTTTCACTCCAAGTATCACATCCGCCTTCCCCAAGTCCTTCATGTCAAATCTTTCAGAAAGAGACCTTTTGGTCTCTATTATTGCTTCAACATTAGGACTAAAGATTAGCATGTCATCTACATAGATGCAGATGAGTACTATGCTTGACTCAACTTCTTTTGAGTATAGACAAGCATCTAATCTGTTTACTGCGTAACCCAGATCCAACAGTGTTTTGTAAAATTTTTCATACCACTGTTTTGGAGCTTGTTTTAGCCCATATAGGGACTTCACTAGTCTACAGACCTTCCCTTCTTGTCCGGGTTCTACACACCCAGGAGGTTGGTCCATGTAGATTTCTTCCTCTAGGTCTCCATTTAGGAAGGCCGTTTTGACATCCATTTGATGGACTGTCCACTTGTGTGCTGCGGCTAATGCAAATAACACTCTTATTGTTGCTATTTTTGTCACAGGCGAGTAAGTACAGAAGTAGTCTTCCCCAAACTTCTGTCTATAGCCTTTGGCTACTAACCTCGCTTTAAATCTTTCTATTGACCCATCGGGTCTAAGTTTTCTTTTGAATATCCACTTGCACCCAATAGGCTTGGCCCCTTTGGGAATTTCTACTATTTCCCACGTGCGATTAGACTTTATTGAGTCTAGTTCACTTTGAACGGCTTCTTTCCAGAACACCGCATCAACTGAGCGCATAGCCGCATCGAAAGTCTTTGGTTCGTCCTCTAAGACTAGTTGACACACGAACTGCTCAGAAAGTTCATTTAAGTCTTCTAGCTCAGATATATATGTTATAAAGTCTGAACCAAAGGTAGTTTCAGTGCGTTGTCTCTTGCTTCTCCTGAGTTGTTCAGGCTCACTCTCAATTTGTGAGTATGGAACCGAAAGCGATTCGGTCCTATTAGGGGTTTTCAAGGGGAAGATGGTTTCAAAGAACTCAGCTTCCCTGGCTTCACATATGGACCGATTTTCTAATAGCATGAACCGGTAGGCTGCACTCTTTTCTGCATACCCAACAAAGACTGCATCCACAGTCTTAGACCCAAGGTTAGGTCTTTTGAACGAGGGAAGCCCAACTTTCGCTAGGCACCCCCACACTCTGAAGTATTTCAGATTTGGGGAGTATCCTTTCCACATCTCATAAGGTGTGTTATCGTACCCCTTGTGGGGTATTCTATTAAGGATATGATTCGCTGTAAGCGCGGCTTCTCCCCAAAGTGTATTGGGAGCTCCCGAACTTAACAAAAAGGCGTTTATCATTTCTTTGAGAGTTCGGTTTTTTCTCTCGGCTACGCCATTCTGTTGAGGGGTGTAAGGGGCAGTCACTTCATGGATAATTCCATGTTTTTCACATAACGACTTAAAGGATGCAGATTCATATTCACCCCCCCTATCTGAACGCAATCTTTTTATTTTCATACTTAGTTGATTTTCAACTTCATTTTTGAAAATAACAAATTTATCTTCGGCTTCATCCTTAGTTCTTAGCAGATATATTTTAAAAAAGCGAGTAAAATCATCAATAAAGGATATGTAATACCTTTTTCCACCTTTAGATTCCGTGTTTCTAAAGTCTGCTAAGTCAGAATGAATTAACTCTAAAGCACATGTTGTTTTATGCTTAACTAAAGTAAACGGTTTCTTAATGAACTTTGCTTCAGCACAAGTCTCACATTATGTTATAGTGTCATTTGTTACATTAGCTAGCAAGTTTTCATGTTCTTTAGTCTATTCATGCATTTAACACCAATGTGTCCTAATCTAGCATGCCACATGTCAAACGAAACAGCAATATAAGCAGAACTGCCAGTGCCACTGGCCACATTATTCATGTTGATTGCATTGTTTTTGTTTGAAATGAAAGGTAACACAAAAAGCCCCCCACGCATGTAACCTTTCCCCAGATAATCCCCCCTACGAGTCATTATCATTCTGTCAGATTCAAACACTAACTTAATCCCGGCCCTCACTAATAAAGGCCCCGAGACTAAGTTCCTTCGCAGAGAGGGAACATACATTACATTGTTTAAAAACAATTTTTTTCCTGAACATAGTTTTATTTCTATGGTACCACTACCTCTTACCTCGGCCACGCTATCATTGCCCATAAAAACTTGTTCACCTTGCTCTCGAGCAATTGCTTGAAAATTCTTGAAAAGACTCTTGTTTGAACAGAAATGGCGTGACGCTCCAGTGTCCACGATCCATTCTTCGGAGTCTTCTATAACGTTGGCTTCTAGTGTTATAACGGCTGCTACAACTTCAGAATCTTCCACCACATTTGCTTGGCTTTTTGGTCCTCCTTGGTTCCCTTTTTGATCAAATCCACATTTCTTGTGGTAGCACTGCGCTGCACGATGGCCATGTTTGCTGCAGACATAACAGCCACCTCCTTTCCCTGATTTTTGGTTTCTGTTCGCCTTGAAGTTTTTAGAGTTGTTTGCTTTCATGCCTTTCTGCCAACCTTTATTTTTACCATTGTTTGCACTTTTTGACCTGTCACTTGTTTCTATAACGTTAGCCTTTAAATTTTCAGGAGAGGAAACTGACCTTTGTCTTAGGCGAAACGCCTCTTCGATGTTTATGTGATTCACCATTTCTTCCCATGTACTTAACTTTGGTTCATGTTTCATTTTATTTTGAAATTCAGACCACGATTCAGGTAATTTTTCAACCAAAGCATAAGTTTGCAATGTGTCGCTTACCGGAATCCCTTCGGTTATTAAATCCCCAATTAAATTTTCGAACTCATGAACTTGATCAATAATAGGCTTACCGTCAACCATTTTGTAGTTTAACCAACTTGCAACAGCATACTTTTTCCGGCCTGCATCATCTGACCCGTATTTCTTTTGTAGCAAATCCCAGATTGCCTTCGCGGACTTGTGAGGTGCATAAATATCCAGAAGAGAATCAGACATGTATTGAAGCAGTATGCCTCTTACCATTTTATTATCACGTTCGAACTTGTTTCGAACGTCTTGACTTGTTGCAGACGATTTTGCGGGCGCAGACGTCTTTGGATCTGGTGTCACCAGATCTGGAATTGTGTCTTCGGTCGAAGCAATCTCGATCTCATCTCCGACTGGTGTTGGTGTTGTTGGAGTCGTTGCTGCAGTGGTTTGACCGAAAGGACAGCTGGTGAGCACGTAGTCAACCTCGTGCGTCTCGAAATGCACCATCATCTTCACAGCCCACCTTCGGTAATTTATACCGTTCAACGGCTCGATCTTCGAGAGTTCAGTGGCGGGCTTGGAAAGGAGGGACGACATCTTCATTTTATATATAAGCTTTTAATTGTTGTGGTTTTTATAAAAATGTCGTAGGTTTATATGGATTACGATTGATATAGGCTGGGATATGTTTAGGATAGTTTCTGTGACGTGTGCAAGACACTGCCCTAAAAGCTTATATCCGGAGACTGAGCGGTCTTAACCCGGGAGCTTTCGACTGGCTCACACAGAAGTACTCACGTAACTCAGTTGCACTTATAGAGATACGTACTCAGAGTATTTATAGAGCTTGAGAGTTTTTTTTCAAGTGTAAAGAAATAGGTCTGGGAAGACAGGTATTTATAGTAGTGAGAATACCTGTCTCCCCTGTACCAGCCACAAAAAAAAAAAGAGAAAAAAGAGGAGAGGGAACGCAAGTTGCGTTCAGATGTGCCCACTAACGCACTAGATTAATTCTTGTCCACAAGAATAATTCTGACCGCCCATTCACCTCTTGAATGTTATTCCCAACAGTTTTAACTGAGGTAAATTGTGAATCGCCCAAACAACATGGTTACATGGTTGTTTTGATGTGTAAATTAGGTTGTATCAGACAAGAAAGGATTGCTACTTATAATTTAATTGAGAGTTGAACTATTTGAGGTCTTCGAGTATAATGATTTTGTTACGTTTAGTCCTACACTTTCAAATTAATTACGATATTTCGACTTTTAAATTATTAATATCCGTGGTCAAGTTAATCAGCCATGGTCCTTCAACTATTAAATTTTAACTAATCATGGCCCTTTCAAGAGGACCAGGTTGGTTAAATTTTGAAAGTTAAAAGATTGTAGGTGGTTAACTTGGACCATGAATGATTAAATTTGCAAGTCGAAAGATTACAGATAATCAATTTAACAATTTAAGATTAAACGTGACAAATTTACTACATTCGGAGGATCTCGAGTTAACTCATTTAATTGAATTGATAAAACCTAATAAAATCCAAAAATGGGTTGGTTTCCTTTGAATTGAAGCATCACCAAAAGTTGGCACAAGAGCACACCCCATTACGAAAATGGTGGAACCTGTTATTATCCCTGATGATAATCTCCCTGCCACTCACACCAGAGGCACCGCACATGAACGAATGACAGTCTTCACATATTCTCAGATTCTTCATGATTTTAATGGCAGAATCAGCATCAGTAGCCAGCAGCCCATACGCCAAGGCAAGCTTCTCACTATGCATCATCAGAATCCTCTTCTTATCCTCATCGTTCAAATCGTAAGGCACACAGCTCAGGTTTGGTTCATATCCACACCGCAGCCTGAGTTGCTCAATAAGATCCATCACAGCTTCTTTAATCGAACCAGACATCGGGTGGGTCGAATCCCCTGCATAGAACTCATGAATCGCGCCATCTTTCCCTTCAATCCAGCTTCTTGAAGGGTTCTTTTTCAGTGATCTTGATCTTATCATCTTCCTCACCCTCAACACATCCTCCCACCTCCCTGCAGAAGCATATATGTTGGAGAGCAAGACATAGTTCCCAATACCATCTGGTTCAAGCTCAAACAGATGGTTTGCTGCAACCTCTGCAACATCTGGGTTGCCATGGATGCGGCAAGCTCCTAACAGGGCTCCCCAGACACCACCATTCGGCTTTATCGGCATGTTCCTGATGAGTTCAAGGGCTTGCTCTAGTTCCCCAGCCCTGCCAAGAACATCCACCATGCAAGAATAGTGATTTACAGCTGGTTCAATGCCATACTTTTTCTCCATCAAATCAAAGTACCGTTTTGCTTGTTCTACCAAGCCTGAATAGCTGCAAGCTAACAAGACGCCAAGAAAAGTTACATCGTTTGGCTTTACGTTTGTTCTCAGCATCTGTTCAAACAAGTTTAGTGCAGAATTTGCATGGCCGTGCATAGCAAACCCAAGAATCATGGAGCTATATGAGAACACATTCTTCTCGCGCATTTTCTCGAACACATCGTAGGCATCCTCCACGCTTCCACATTTGGAGTACATATCAATCAATGCTGAGCCGACTACGACATGATCAGCAGGCCCGAATCCTGATCTCTCAGCAACACCTCTCACCCAATCTGCGTGCTTACTGGAACCCAATTGCGCACAAGCTGATATAACTCCAGACAATATCACTTCATCTGTCTGCACACCAGCATTCTGCATCCTACGGAAGAACTCTATGGCTTCCATGGGTTTCCCATTTTGAGCTAAACCAGTGACCACTGTGGTCCACGCCACCATATCCTTAAAAGGCATTTTCTCAAACAGCTCCACTGCGTCTTCCATATCCCCACTCTTGGCATAAGCAAAGATCAACGACGTCCACGAGATAACATCTCTCAGAGGCATTTCATCGAACACCTTTCTCCCACATTCTACCCACCCACATTTCACGTACATATCAATCAAAGTATTCCCCAGATACAAATCACAACAGAGCCCACCAATCCTCACACACTGTCCATGAATTTGCCGCCCTAAATCCACCTCAAACCTATCACTACAAGCCTTCAACAACGCCGTGAACGTGAACGAAACGGGCGAAAACCCTTCCCTCCTCATCAACCCGTACAGCCTCACCGACTCTCCAAACGGCCCTTGCATGGCGTAGCCGCGAATGATGGCGGTCCACAGAAAGGGGTTCCGGTCTCCCACCCTGTCAAACACCATGCGCGGGTAGGGCTCCACGGGGACATCGATTTTGGCGAGTGTGCGAATGAGCTTAGTAAGAACATAGCAGCACTGCTCTACACCTCGCCGGATGACGTGCGCGTGGACTTGCTTGATCTGGAACAAACTGTTGCACACATCCAGAAGCGAAACTAAATGGGTTTCCAAGAGCTTCCGCTCTTGAAGCTTTGAAAACGGGATGAATGGCCTCTCCGGCTCGGCTTCTGGACTTCTTAGGTCGTAGCGTTTGGGTATGGGTATCGTCGTCCTGGGTATAAGCAGCTTTCGGATGATTGAAGCCATTACATACTGAATAACTCAAATCAGCTTCCAAATCTTGCTATGGAGCGGGAAATGGAGAATTTCAGCAAATTCAAGTGCAAATTTTATGTAAACTCTAATACTAATACTAATTGCCAAACACTCCAAAATAATCCAAGTAGATGGTATTGTGTTCATTCTGTTAATTTAGTTAATACTCGAACTAAAATAATCATTATAAATGTTTTAATTATTAATTGAACTAAAATTTCTATTTTCAAATTAAGATAATTGAATTTTAATTTTTCAATTTAACCATTACCGAAATATTTTAGTCCAATTTAATATATATATATATATATATATATATATATATATATATAAAATTTGTAAATTTATAATTTCATACCACAAAATAGTCATGTACTATATAAATGATCTGTTTTGAAAAAAATAAAAAACTAATATAATAGTATTATTTTTGAATTATAAAAAAAATTTAAAATATAAATACACATGTAATTTGGTTAACCTACACTTTCAAATTGGATTAACCGTAACCAAATTTAAAATCATTAATCAAATAGAAATATTTTTGTTAAAAATAGATAACTGAATTTTGTCGATTTAGTTGATTAACTGATTTTCACCGAATTATGTCCACCCCTAATCATGACTACTAATAAGGAATTCATATACGTTCACACAGGGACATAGTTTGCATTAGGGATGCAAAAAAGTCCAATTGAATTTGAACTTAGGCTCATTCAAGTTTATATATATATGTGTGTGTATGTGTGTTTGTAAGCACATTTAAGTGAGAAGTATGTTTTTCGTGAAAATTGTGATCGTATATCACGTAATAATTATAAATGTAATTGTTAATATATAATGTATGTGCACTCAAAACTATAAGTGCAATGGCTAATACGTAACAATGTATTGCACGATTACATATCACCTATTGCATTATTAATTGTTACAGAATACAATTTAAATTTAAAATAGATAAAATTTCAAATTTAGTCCTATGACTAATGAAGTTTTGTTGATTACAGTACATAAATTTTAAAATTGTCAATTTAATACATTAACTATTCATTTTTTGTCACTCTGACCCAAATGTCGGTTAAATGATCGGTAAAAAGATTAATTGACTTGATTTTGTTTAATAACAAGAGCAACATGGTCTTTCTATGTTATGCGAAAAGGTGGGGATTCGCTTGCCCTGATATGCTGATACGCAACAAAGGAAAGAAATAATTGGTGGTTTAATTAGGGGATGGTCTACAAGGAATGAATATATGTAATTAGAGGATAATTGACTAAATATTAGTATAAGGAAATTATGTATATTAGAATATATTATTACCTTGTATAGTTAGAATAATTGTAGTAACTTAATTATTATATGTGTTAGTAATTTAGTATAAATAGGTCCATTGTATATGAATACGGGGAACCATTCAGAGGAAATATATTGTTATTCTACTATTCTAGTCTATTCTTCTTGGAGCCCACACACGCTCGAAGTGTGAAATTGGAGTTTGCCGTGACTCGAATACGGTTAGGAGCCAGAAGCCTGCTCGAAAGGTTTCTTCAGTTGCGTACTAAATTTGAGTACGTAACATTGGTGCTCTCGTTGAGAGGATTTGTGGATGCATCACGTAACAATTGGTGCTTTCATTGAGAGTATTGGTGAGAGTATCTCATATCCTTTTGTTATTTTATTTTATTTTTTGTTTTTATCTCATTTTTTATAGCACCCTTTTGAAAATTCAAAAAAAAAAAAAACGAGAGAAAAGAAAAAAATACAAAAAAAAAAAGTAGAGAATTATTTTTTATGGAAAATATTACTCACCGGTGCTTATTGGTTTCTGTACACCATGTATGGTATTCAATTGATGATTTTGTATTGTATTCGATCTTTTCTACAAAAGGATCTGTACAATATATTCATATTTTGAAGGATGAAAGTTACACCTTCCAAGCTTTGGTATGGTTTGATTTTGTCTTAGATGCATTCATGGCCAAACAAGCTCTTCATGGCCAAAATATTTACGATAACTGTTGTGTCTTAGACATTAAATATCCTAATTTGGAGCTGTTGATGGCTATGTGTGGAGAATTACAGACAGACCAAGATGATACTTTGGAATGCCACACTCCTAATTATTCTAATCCAATTTCTCAAGAAGAACCAAGTAACCCAGAGTCTAAAAATCATCAATAGCAACAGATCTCCCAACTACTCATGATGAAAGCAACATTCACAATTTCAACAACTTAGAGTCTCTTGAGGATTATCTTGAGACAAGACTTGTGAGTCCTACTACCTTAGAATTGGAACTCAATGTTGGAGAGCAAGAGATATTTTTAGACGGTGCAAGTCAAAAGGGGAGGAGACCATTTATGTGTCACGATCAAGCTCATGAACCATTTCAATTTATTTTGTCAACTAGCCCCCGTCCAAAGTTGCATGGACTGCTTCAACAAATATGTGTTTATTCTATTCCTCTCTACACCTTGAGGACAAGGTGTTTTTTGAAGGGGTGGAGAGTGATACGCAACAAAGGAAAGAAATAATTAATGGTTTAATTAGGGGATGGTCTACAAAGAATGAATATATGTAATTAGAGGATAATTGACTAAATATTAGTATAAGGAAATTATGTATATTAGAATATATTATTACCTTGTATAGTTAGAATAATTGTAGTAACTTAATTATTATATGTGTTAGTAATTTAGTATAAATAGGTCCATTGTATATGAATACGGGGAACCATTCAGAGGAAATATATTATTATTCTACTATTCTAATTTATTCTTCTTGGAGCCCACACACGCTCGAAGTGTGAAATTGGAGTTTGCCGTGACTCGAATACGGTTAGGAGTCAGAAGCCTGCTCGAAAGGTTTCTTCAGTTGCGTACTAAATTTGAGTACGTAACATATGCACAGAGATCTCGTTGTGTTACTAAAAGCGGATTCTGCTTCTCCTTGGATCAAGAAACACTGAGCTTTGTTACTATGAAGAACGACCATCTCTTTTCTCAACTTCAATGGACACAAATCCATAGCTTTCTTGTACATCACCGCCGCTTCTGCAACTTTCCCTGTCCAGAATTTCTGGTTCCCTTCTTTCTTCAGCATGGAAACCACTACTCTCCTCTACCTAAATTCCCCTTCAGACATTAATTCATCTCATTTTCTTCTTCACACCTTCAACTCTCAAGCCTCTTCTAGAAAATGCGAAATTTTCTGGATAAATTTCAATTTAAAATGTTAACTTTCCTGATTTAATTTCAATTTAAAATGTTAAATTTCCTGGTTTAATTTCCTTTTTAGTTGTCTCGATTTCCCAACCTTAATCTTGGCGTAGTCTTGCAAGAGAAACTTTGCAATCTGATCTCCTAGCTTTGATCTTCCTCTGTTGGCTCTGAGCTCTACTAAATCAACGAGAAATGGCTCAAAAACTTGCAGCACTTTGTGTCTTGTATTGGCATCCAGGAGAAGGAATAGCAGGATGCAACATACATTTTGTGTAATTTTTTTCATGCGACCAGATGCAATATACATTTTTATAACTCATAATGTACATTATTCTAAAACATAATGTACATTATATTATCATACAAATTTTATTATTCTAACATGTAATATATATTATTTAACACATAATGTACATTATTCTAATACATAATGTACATTATTTTTACTCATAATATTCAACGATATTATTTTGGATTGTAGTTCACAAACCTGTGTGGACCGAATAATTTGCCAATGTTGGCTATTGGACTTGACTCGCTGCCTTAATGGGTTGAGCCCAATAATTTAATTTGGGTCAATCTACTTGGACCACAACACATTTGGTTTATATCCATTAGAGTAAATCCTTAAAATGGTTTCTCGACTATAGTTAAATTTATAAATTGGTCATCAACTTTCAATTTTAACCAATTAAGTCTTTAATTTTACAATTTTAACACGATTTGGTCCCATGTCTATTTGACCGTTTGTTGACTGTGATTTTTGAGGATATATATGTAATTTCATGATCCATTATCGATTTTTTAGGTTCCGGTTGCATTTCTAGACCGCACTGTCGAAAGTAATTTTCCAAATCCTGTCGCCTTTCTTCATCCTCCCTTTGGATTCAATGTAGTTGAGCTCGTTTCAGAGCGAAGAAGATGAGGTGTTTCCGAACCGGTGCAACGTCATCTTGGAAGCCTCCACGTGCCCCGACGAGAGATGCAAGTTCTTCTGGAGATCGTCGATGACGGTGCGACCGCCGGCGTAAATGCAGAAGTGTTCGAAGGCCTGTTTGAAGTCAGGAATGTAGGGTTTTCATTTGGGATTGAAGATTTTCTGGGCGATTAGGGTGAAGAGGAAGAGGAGCTACTCCGACGCCGGGAGAACGAGCAGGGCGATTGTGGTTATGTTGGATTCGAGGACTTTGCCGGCGATCACCATTAGGTCTTTTGAGAGGTTGATTGTGACTTTCCCTTGCGGATCTTCTTGCTTGTAAACGCAGCGGTTGGCTTTGTCGTCGACACCCTTGTGCGTGCGAACAACGTGCATGAGTTGGTACTTAGCCTGACTCGAATCGCGCTTCTTGTTGGACACAAGAATCGCGGCGTCGCCCATTCTGAAGAGGCAGTTAGGGAGGAGCATAGCTCTCTCCGATCCTTTGTAATAGTTGGACATAATAATCTCCTTGCTAACCACCAGGGCGTTAGAGTTGGGGTGCAATACAGGAGGTCACGTGCAAGATCAATCGAGATCAGGCCGGTGCTGCACCCCATGTGGGAGAAATTATAGCTTTTGATAGACAGATCGGCGAAGTCCCTGGAGTGGTTCTTTGAGAAAGCCATGACTCCAAGCGACGTCGGCAAAATGAACTGGCTCGTGATCCCCAAGCAGTAAGCGGAAAAGCATTTCCCCCTCCGAAATGGCATCATCACCTCCAAGAGCGTTCTCTTGAGCTTGCACATGAAATTACATGTATATCCTCAAAGATCATGGTCAAATAGACGGAGGACCAAATTATGTTAAAATTACAAATTTAAAGACTTAATTGGTTGAAATTAAAAGTCGAGGACCAATTTGTGAATTTAGCTATAGTCGAGGGACTATTTTGAGTATTTACTCTATTCATTATCCACCCATCATTATTGCATGGATAATGGACAGTATAATTTGACATTATTCACCATGTCTTTTTACATTTTTTATATATTAAGGGTACATTATTTATGCATTTTCTAAAAGTACATTTTTAATATATTAAAAGTACATTATGTTATTATTTTATATAATATATATTAGTACAAAAATAATATACTTTTAGTATAAAAATAATGTACTTTTAATATATTAAAAATGCACCTAATATTTATGGTACACATAAATTATGTGGACCATGATCCACATAATAATTTGCCGTCTTTTTCGCTCAGAGCTGGTTGTTACCGTTGATTCCCGGTAATCTTGAGTCTTGAGTCTTGAGTCACCTATTAGAGTCGCGGTCTGCTCCACTGGAAGTGCAGGACAAGGCAATTCAAGAGAGAAAAGTATTTACATATTTATGTATTACGGTTCAATTCAGCCGAGAGCTCAGTCCTCCATAGCCCGTAGACCATAGTGCATGACCAGCTGACCGCTGAACCAATTCTGCTACATTTTTCTTCTTCTTCTTCTTCTTCTTCTTGTTCTTGTCGTCCAGTTCACCATTTCTCATTGATGTTTCCGCTGCCAAAGAAAACATTTCCGTTTCCTCATATATGCGTAGTTCTGCACTTGTACTAGGAAACAGAGGCAGTTTGTAGTGGGAGATAATTGTTTTTGTTCGTACCAGATTATTTCATTTTTCAATGTCCCATATGATAATTTCGATAGTTGCAGGTACCTCCTGATTCCTGTAGAGCAGCATTTGGTCTGTAGTTTGCTCTCCTGCCTCCGATTTTGATCTAATTTATGAGTTTGCAGCTCTTCTGTTGCGACCGCTCGGAGCTGCTTCTGTTGTTGTGCCAACTACAGGCTGCTATGTTCTTGACAATTCCAGTTATCTTTATGATTTTGTATCCTATGTCATGTCTATTATATATAAATATAATCTAACATGTTGGGCGGAGGCCAATAAGGGCCAAGTCTGGCTAGGATAATTGTTGGGCGGAAGCCAGTAATCCGGCACCCGTCTTTCAAAAACGTGTGACAGTAAAAGGAAATAAAGTTGCGTTTTCAACTAGCTAGGCAAGAGCAATTAAGACTAGCTAGTGCTGGGGGAGAGATTGTAGGACAGAGGCCAGTAAGGGCCAAGTCCGTGGCTAGGGAGATTGTTGAGTGGAGACCAGTAAAGGGCCAAGTCCAGCACCACATGAGTAGGGCCTAGGGGCTATAGCTATTAGCTAACATAACAACGGAAGCAATGTTAGAGATCAAAATACCAAGTTATAGTTGATATCTTCTTAATTGTGTTATTGCCTCTTGAATGGTAGATCGTAACCTGGTACTTGTATTTGCAATACCCATTGAGCATTATTGTTCTTCCTTAGATGCTTCACAGAGTAGATGGATTGGACGCCCTTTTGAATACGATGGAGTGGTAATTAATTACTTTGTCCAGTATACGAGAACTACTTGTTCCTGGTCATCAAAGCTATATTAGAATGCAAAACTGTATGATCAAAGACTATAAATTAATGAAGTGTATATACTGATGGTGGTCTTAATGTAGAATACTGACACTGTGGTACGGTTTTGTAAAGACGTGCAATCTAGATCTCAAAAGGTGCTATACATTCTCTAATCTCATTTACTTTAATTACTAATTGGATATTCGTATTTCTTTTCTTGAATTGTTTTTGAAGAATGTGTGGGAAAAGTTTAAATCTTCTTTTCACTTACTATGTGCTTCTTAAGGTCCAGAGATTCTTTCTAGCTATATAAGTCTGAAAGTCTCAGTTGCATTTAGTTTAATTTCAAATTTACAAAACCGCAGGGGTATGTGGATTTTGGTAGATATGATAAGTTCAACTATTTCGTTGCTGGATCGGGAAATGTCAGCTTTGTGCAAGTAAGCCACAATGCTTCTTTGGTGACTACTGTACTATTGTATTTTATTTTCTCGTCATATTGTATGGTTGTATGTACCTAGGAATATTTCAATGGCGACTTGTTGAATTGCGAGATGACTTTTGATAAGATGGGCCGTACAGCTCAGGTATTCTCTGTCTCTCTGGCTTTCTCTCTCTCTCGTTTTCTTATGGATTCCCGCTTACTCTTTGTAATCATATGATGTTTTCTTGAGGTGAACATCATATGCGGAAACTGCACAAATACACAATGCAAAGGTAAGTTTTGCAATATGAGTATCCCTTCAATTCTTGTCGTCTTTTTTTTTTTTTTTTTTTTTTATCTTTGCCAGAATGCTATTCTTGTCACGTCTTTGCTTTGCGAAATACAGGTGGAGTTGGATGTGTATGCAGCGTCTCTTATGAGTCTACCTGCAGGTATTCTAAACATCAAAGTGCTAGTAGCCATGCCATTTTTTTCGTATCTTATTATAAATGGTTTTTAGCCAAAGTTAAACTTGAACCTTTCATATTCTCGAGTTATGTTGCTATTCTTTCCTTTTGGACTAGAGTTGTGGTAGAACTTGCCATTCCATGTGAGGAACCGCGTGAGCGAGTATTTGAAGGTTTCACAGTTGGTTTTTTACCAAGAACATGGGAAATTGTAAGGAATTTTAATTTTTTTTTTCTCGAGATGATACTTCAAAGTTGTTCGTTCCCTGCTTATATTATTGAACTTATAGGTACGCAATGGCATGACTCAATTCGGGTTTGAAAAAGCTTACAAGGAATTCAGGTATGTCAATATAACCTCTTTATCTAAATAACCTGTTTTAACATATATATATATATTAGTCCCAATTGATAATTATTTACGAACTTTTCAGCTTCAGCACTGAACAAACTCATGTAGACCTTTATGCGACTGCAGTTGCCTCACTTTCCAATTTAGTGCAAAAAGCATCGGTTAAGGTAATTGAGTTTGCATTCTACATATATATTTCCTATGTTTTTTTAATGGTATTTGTTTACGAAGTTATGGTTCGTCCCACCCCATCTTCCAGGTGTATCCAGAGCAAGGTTTAAAGGTTACGTTGTCAGAATCCACAGCAAATGGAGTATCACCAACGACTTTGTCTCCAACAATCTTAGCCATCGACTGGAGATGTATAATGACCTATATATAATTGCTATTTTTTTTCCTCTCTTTTTGTGTATGTGTGGTTGCATGGCATTTTTCTTTGCTGGTTTCCATAAAGGAAAATAACCTAAATTTCTGATCTTCGTCTTCAGGTGAAACTGCTCGTGATACCCCATATGAAGTAGAGGTTACCATTCCAATAACAAACTACGACCCCGTTCAATTTACCCTTTCAAAAATGTGTGGTAAGCTACTTCACACTATTCATCCTATCCATTTCGTGGAGTAAAGATGTCTGTAATCCCGTGGCCTCTAAGATCTTATCAATCCTCATAGGTTGATGCTTCAGACTGTATCTCGGGGCATCCTCAAACGTAATACAGCAAAACGATAACTAAGAGTAAAGTGGATTTTTTTCCATCTAACTTGCTCTATCTCGATCTGGTGTTTATGCAGAAAGTAGTGAGAGTGAAAGCGGAGATGCTTCGAGGGGATGGGCAACATTTGGAGTGATATCTTGCGTGTATGTGGAGATCTCCAGTCTACTTAAACTCTTCTATAACACAGTATATCTGAATACATGAAACGTTTGAGTGAATGTTTTATTGTCTATATTGCTTAAGGTTCATTGTTTCCTCGACGCTATGCTGCTGTGGAGGGTTTATTTACAAGACGCGAGTTCAGAATCAGGTTGGTTATGTTACACATTTCTGCCATAAAACACTCCTTCCTAAAGCTTATAACTTTTGCATTAATTTGGTATTTGGATATCCTTTTTGTGCACTTTTTTAGTTATTTATACATTGTGTGCAGTATGGACGCGATGCCTTGCCTGGAATGACGATTTTATCTACATGTCTGGAAAGCGTAAGTAAACTAACACTCTTTCTCGCAAATCTCATTCTGCATCTTCATGTATATTAACAGAACATGCAGTCTAGAGGTGCCCATTTCCCGGGCCTAGCTCAAGCTGGTTTGGTCCTGAATCGCCCCGTGACCACCTCTAGCATATATGCACGTTTTATTGCAGTACTCAATTCTTGAACTCAAAACTGTGCAGTTGAGTGGAGGATACCACAGATACAGAGGACCAGAGGATGCCAACGGTCCTCTTGTGAACCAAGTTTCATGTCCTGCTGCTCGAGGAACCTGGACAACTACTGGAACAACATACGGGTCAATTTGAATCGAGCCTAATAGCCCGCATGGGCAGCTTAGTTGGTCACAATGTGAAGTTTGGGAAGAATGAATCGAGCCTAATCTTTTTGTGACTTACAAGATTGCAGTGTTCCAAACCATTCATGTGTGGAAAGGGGTTTAAACTCTGGTCAATGCACTTTTACTCTTCCCAGTTTCAAAGAATCTTGACACATACATTAGATTTCACACCCAAGAGTCAAATTACACCAAGGCAAAAGCTAAAATTATATGGGACAACCCCAACAAAATTTGTTGGATTGTTGGCTTAATAACCACAAGGTTTCACGTTCGACTCTCAATAGGAGTAGCCTACTGATTTTATTGCTTTGAGTTTGATTTACCCCTTGTGATCGTCCTTTGCTGGCTAAGGTCACAATGCAGTATTTACTTAGGCCATCCCCATCTATGGCTTGTTTTTTTGCGGGGTCTTTTATTATGTGGAGGAAAGAGAAGTTAAGAGAGAGAAATTTGGGTATGCCTTGCAAGTGAAGTTTTTTGTGGGGCCCACTAAGAGAGAGGCACATCAGAAAACAACAGTAGCTATGCTTGCACAACAAACGCCCAGAGGGGCGTGTGCACTCGTGTTATGTTTGTCTTTTTCTTTTTAGGCGTCAGCTTTTTCAATTTTTTTTCTTCTTCTTTTTCCCTCGTCTCTCTCCTACTTAGCTTCTTAAATATTGTGCAAAAAAAACAAACCAAGTGATGTATATTTTAGTACATACCTTGAATAGTCGTTGCATGTTTTTTGTCATCATAAAAAAGCTAAAACTATACTGTAAGAATGGTTCAACCTTTGTGCATGGCTATAGTCAACTTAGCATATCCAGAAATCTGCAGAGTTGACGCAAACACGGAATTACCCAGAAGCCATTTGTGTGAACATTAAGCAATCAAAAGTGACAGAACTTCAAATTCAACAGCATATATAGTTAAAGCCGCGTCAATCGCGTAACGACGTGCATGGTTGTTGTCCTAAAAAACATTCTGGGAATTTTGAATCATCAGATGAAGCGTGAAGACAAAGGTTGTGCTTTTCTTGTGTAATTAGAGGAGCAGTTCTCCTACCCCTATCCGTATTTGATCTATATATTCATTGGACGACCAATAAGATTCACCTAATATTCTGTTATCCGATCCACTCTAATCTAATGTGATTTCTGTACATGCCACGGCTAAATAACAGGCATGCACCCAATTTAATAATTATTATTTATTGTCACAAACTGTGGTTTAGGTGTATTATACGGATACGGAGTATCTGGTATAACTGCTATATGGGATTTTTTTTTTGGGACGAGGAAAACCAACAGCTACTAATATCACATGCAACTGACTTGATCAAGAAGATGTTGACAAGAATCAAACTCGTAATCTTCAAAGTACGAAAATCATGCTCCACCCATTCGGATCACCCTTTCCGAAGCAATTATAAATAAACTTTAACTTATTAATATTTAAGTTTGCCAAAATAAGCTTTTAACTTTTGGAGGCAATTTAAAGTTTATTTATTTATTTTGGTAACTTTGTCACTCTTTGAGATCTTATCTCACAGTATTAGTTATCCCTATGTAGTTCTAGTTAATTGGTTAAAAAAAATCAGTGACTCTATTCGATAAGATTAATTTTCATGTGTAGTCCTGGTTGACTGGTTGAAAAAATTTATAATATTATTTGACAGAATTGGTTTCTATGTGAAGTGGTAGTTAACTGTCTAGTAAATTTGTAGTTATATAAAAAAAAATACTAACTTTCCACGTTGGCATCTTAAAGTTAGTAATTTAAACATACTTATATTTACTACAATATGAATCCTTTGTCAACAAAGCATGTGATTTCTACCCCTAGAATACTATTTTTGTTTCTACTTCTTCTTATCTGCAAACCTGCATGTTTGTCCATTTCCAGCAGTAGCTTAAACACAAAGCAATAACAAAATGTGGTTGATCCAACCAAACTCCACTTCCACTAATTTGATTATGATAATACAATATCCCATGTCTAATTAATATTGATAGATATCCCGTCTAGGGTACCCAGTCAGGATTATGCTCTAATACTCGGAGTCTGCAGAGTGACTGCGTTATCCAGTAAGTTGGAGGGACAGTAACCAGACCCCTTGCCGGGGTAGGGTGTGTAGGCTAGGCTGCCTGTCTCGCAAAGGCGGTCGGGCTGGTATGCCTGACCGAGTGCGTTGCTCAGAGGCAATGGAAGGAGATTTTCCAGTTTAAAAATAATGACCCGTGATCGAGTCTAGTGCGGGAGCAACCTCTCAAAGTGAGGGAGTATAAGGGGAGATTTACATCCTCCCATATACTTTGTCGGGTTGGGATTCAACATTTTGGGAATAGTAATAACATATATAATTGTTATACTTTACAGTGAATGGAGAATCTAGCAATCAGCATGGAAACTGAAAACAATATGTTAACATTATGATTGGAATTTGGAAAGCTACTTTACCATAACTAAAACCGCTACCAACTCCATTATTCATTTATTCTGTGTAGGCCCTCTTCTAATTCAACTCTATATATACTGTCTCAACCCATCTCTCATTTCCATCAAACACACTAATCCTCAGCACAACAGCTTTAACAATGGCTAAGTTTGTCAGCTGTTTCTTCATGGCCATTGCCTTGCTTTACTCTGCACAATTGTGTCTGTGCAGCAAGAGCTATGGTGGTTATCTATATCCTCAATTTTACGACCGGTCGTGCCCAAGGGCACAAGAAATTGTTGAGTCCGTCGTTGCCAAGGCTGTCGCTAAAGAGCCCCGAATGGCCGCTTCTTTGTTGAGGCTCCATTTCCACGATTGCTTTGTCAAGGTACTAAACTTACTAGTTCTTGTGTCGGTTTACCTGTCACATGCACACTTCTCAGCTTTCATTGTCTGCCAAATTGAAGCATGTCCTCTTTATATGTTCAATGAGCCCCCTCACGTGTGCGAGCCAGTTATTCTTGACAGGTTCCGTTTTAACTAAAAATCTAAGCTAATAGTTAGACTGCACATTTATGTAACGCAGGGGTGTGATGCATCTATACTGCTGGACAGCAGTGGGAGCATAAGCAGTGAGAAGAGATCTAACCCGAACAGAAACTCTGCTCGTGGATTTGAAGTCATTGATGAGATTAAAGCGGCACTGGAGGCGGAATGCCCTCACACTGTTTCTTGTGCTGACATCCTAGCACTTGCTGCCCGGGATTCCACGGTTCTGGTAACAATCTCGAGATCCCTTATAAAGACTCTCGTAGTTATGTCACTGGCCTACAAGGTGATCGCGTATTTTTGGTTGTTTAAATAGGCTGGTGGACCAAACTGGGAGGTTCCATTAGGCAGGAGAGACTCCAGAGGGAACAGCTTGAGTGGCTCTAACAACAACATTCCAGCTCCAAACAACACATTCCAAACCATCCTCACAAAATTCAAACTTCAAGGCCTTGATCTTGTTGATCTTGTTGCATTATCTGGTAATAATATTAACTAAATTTTCATCAACTGTTACTAGAAACGGAAGTTAAAGAGGTAATTAATAACCCAACCCAGTTAATCAGGTTGTTGACTCAGTAACAGTAAGGTTACAATTCAAGATCGACCCCCTCAGTCTTTTTTGTTTGAGCCAGTCAATCTCCATCACTCAAAAACGAAAACCGAACCTAACGTATACAAATTGTTGTGCAGGGAGTCACACAATTGGGAATGCAAGGTGTGTAAGCTTCAGGCAGAGGCTATACAACCAAACAGGAAACAGCTTGCCAGACTACACCCTGGACCAATCATATGCTGCTGAGCTGCGCACAAGGTGCCCAAAATCTGGGGGAGACCAAACCCTGTTCCACCTGGATTTTGTCACCCCCACAAGATTTGACAATTCCTACTTCAAGAACTTGTTGGCATACAAAGGGCTGCTGAACTCTGACCAGGTTCTGGTGACCAAGAGTGCAGCATCACTGCAATTGGTGAAAGCTTATGCTGAGAACAGTGAGCTTTTCTTCCAGCACTTTGCCAAGTCCATGGTTAAGATGGGAAACATCTCTCCTCTTACTGGCTTCAGTGGAGAAATCCGGAAGAATTGCAGGAAGATCAACCATTACTGATATGACCAAATCTTCTTTGTGAACAACACAAAAATTTGTGTATTTATCAATTTTCATCTTCTTTTTAAGCATTCCTGTCTATCTGTATCCCTCATCTTGCACCAGGAACTATAGGGTACAACTATTTTGTGCATGATGGGAAGGTGTTGAAATTCATTTAATTTCAAAGAATATTTGTTGCAGCAAAATACACTATCAAAATAGGGCATTAAAGACCATCTCTAAGGGACACACCAAATCACTAAAATGGTAAAAAAATAGAACAAATGAACTCCAAAAGACACGGCATCCCACCAAATATTTGGTGTGAGATGAACCGTGCAACACCAAATTTGGCACTGCACTGTTCATCTCACACCAAATTGGTGTTGTTTTTTATTCACAAACTCACTTTGTTTTTATTTATAAATTTTATATTATTAAAGATAAATTATATCATTTGGAAAATTCCATCAACACACTTAAAACAAGACTAATATTCAACATTGAATAATTAAAAATGAAACTATATAAAACATAAATTTAATAAAATTAAAGTAAATTAAATCTAAAATTACTTTAAACAAAATTAATATAATATTTGCATTATAATTATATTATATTTTATATTAAAATATTTAAAGATAATATAAATTCTTAATTTATAAGAAATAAAATTTGGTGTTATGGGTTGGAGATGGCCTAAGAGCAATCCCATCTAAAATTACAATTTTTTTATGTTTGGTTCATAGTGAAAACAATCTATTGACTTTTACCTCTTTATGTTCAATTGTCAGCTAGGGTCTCGTATAATCCCTCGTCACTAGATATAACCATGCTTTGGATTCAATTCCAAACCGCGGATTCATAGTTTTAGAAAATGATAAACCGAAACCATAACCTTTTAGAAAGGTTCCGATTTGATTTTTTTTTTTTTAGTAAATTCTGTTTTCTATTTTTAAAATAATCCAAATTCAATAATAATAATTTTTTATTTATTTATTTTTCTAGTTCGGAATCGGAACTGACTAGTCTCGAACCAGAACCGAAACCAAAATCGAAACCTTTTGGTTTTTGATTCTAAATCATAATTGGAATTGTCCCTACGGTTCTAATTTTGGATCGGTTATTACAGTGTCCGATTCAATTCAAATCAAATTGTAGTCATCCTTACTCATCATGTCAACAAATAAAATTTGGTTGCAATTTCTATATTCAAAAATGCCTAAACACAAATTAACATGTCACCAATTAGTTTATATCTTATAGCATGTTTTCAAAAGATGGATCTCACCGTCTCTATCCTTCATTAAAATTACAAAAAGGAGAATGTTAAGATTTAAGAAATTTTGTTTTGATGATTACAAAGTGATCAATTTAGCTGGTTAAAAAAAAAGTGATTAATTTAGCTTATTTTGTTTCTTCTTGTTTCTTTTTTTGCATATATAAACCAGGTACTTTGCAGTTTGCAGTATTATAATCATCATTAATGAAAAATAATAACAGAGTAATAATTTTTTCCTTGAAAAATCCTGAAAATTAGTGAAATAAATTATTAATAATAATCTCTGATAACGATGAAATTATAGAGTAAATCCATAAATCGTTGCGTGCTGGTTTAATTGGTAGCTTGATACGATGTCGTAGACGTCTTCTTCTCGTCAATTTTGATTCGAAACTTGATAGAGTTAATGGGGAAAGCTGCTGACGGAGCATACTACTAATTCAAAAATGCCTGCTTTGCGGTCGGTTGACTGGCAGTGGGAGAACGCCACAGCCGGCGCCGTCGCGGGGCTCGCCACCGCCACATTTTCTCATCCCCTTGATGTCGTCCGTACCAGGTTCCAAGGTATGATTCATTCTGCATCTCTTTCCTTGTATACATATTCATCAATTTATATCTTGCATAATTATATGAGCTCGTATTGTACATTTTTGAGTTTGATCCGAGTGAAATGGAATCACAGTAAACGACGGGCGAACATCGATCCTTCCCGCATACAGGAACACTCCTCATGCTCTATATACCATCACTCGCTTGGAGGTTGGCTGCTTTCTGCTAAAAAGATTAATTAAATTTAATATTTGCAATTAGTATGCAGGGTCAGTATTAATTATTTAATTATGCAACAAATGTGCAAA